ATAATTACCCCCTGGAAAATTCCCCCCCCCCTCGGAAAACTACCCTCTAAGGACAATTACCCCAGAGGACAATTACCCCCCCCCCCCCCCCATTTGTTACAGGGGAAGTCCATCCTGATAATAAAGTGGTTTTAATCAAAGCAGATTTTTTTTTTTTTTTTTTGGGGGGGGGGTATATTATTCTTGAGGGGTAATTTTCCCGGGGGGGGGGTAATTGTCCTAGGGGGAAATTGTCCGGGGGTTAATTGTCCTTGGGGGGGGGACAGATTGTCCTAGGAGGTAATTTTCTGGGGGGTAATAATCCTCTGGGTGTGATAGTCCTTGGGGGGTAATTGTCCTCGGGGGGGGGGCATTTCCTGAGGGTTAATTTTCCAGGGGGGTAATTATCCTAGAACCGACTCAGAGGCCTAAAGCCATACATCCTGTTAACCCTTTAGGCCTATATGAACTTGTCATTTTATTTCTATTCAAGTACTACTGACATTTAGGATGGATATGCCTAAAAAAAAAAAGCATGTGGAAGATGTATGTTGTACTGTGCATATTGCATGTATTGTATACATTATAATAGGGTTTATTGTGAATATCTGTGAGCATGGATACTTTCAATCCTTATTGCTCCTAAACAAAAAATATTATATCTCTGAAACTTTTATATGTTTTAGTGAACATGTCAGAGATTACATTTCATGAAAAATGTTGTCAAAGTTACGTGATCCACAAGGTCAATTTCAAGGTCAAATCTGAGGTCAAGAGGTCAAGGTACCCCAACATGTACAAATCTTCAAAATGGCGGCAGATTTGGAATCCTTATTGAATTCCCTTTCCAACAATACAAATTTTGTGAAGATTGACCCATTAGGTCCAGAGATACAAGGGTTCAAAGGTAGGCCCGCCACCCCCATTTTTGAAAAAATCCCAAAATTTGGTGGGCCGTATCTCCCAAACCCCTCACCCGATTGACCTAAAATTTGGGATTTGGTGCTGTGAGATCACACTCAACAAGTACACTAAGTTTCATCAAAATCAAAAATGGTCGGGTTAAAACCATTGGGTGATTTGACATGGAATGACCCTACGATACTATCTTAAAAGATAGATAAATATAAAACGAAATAAATGTATTTTTAAAAAAATCCAAAATTGAGAGATATAACACGTGCCGTAAAGTAATTTGGCGACAATAGTCAATTCACTGACTAATCGCCAATAACTCAAAACACAACAACAACAACATTACCCCCACTTTTAAAAGAGTGGAAAAACATAACACATTCGTTATTCCTCCACTGTTGATGGAAAGAGGGGAGGAAAACATAACACAATCTTTGTTCCTCCACTGTTGGGGGGGGGGACATTACATAATCTGTATTCCTCCAATATTAATGGGAGAGAGAGAGGGAGGAACACAGAGGGAAAAACGCATCACACAAAATGTTTGTACCTTCACAATTTATTGATTGAACGAGGGGAGGAAGGCATCACACAATCTTTATTCATCCACTATTGATGGAGGAGAGAGAGAGGAAAACAACAAAATATATTATGTTTCTCCACAATTATCGATGGAACGAGGGGGGAACTCATCACATAATCTTTATTCCACCATAGAAACTGGTAAAAGAGGGGGAAGGAACGCTCAACACAATCTTTGTTCCTCCACTATTGATGGGAAAAACGCATCACATAATCATTTTTCCTCCACTATTTATGAGAGGGATGGGGGGGGGGGGAAGGCGTCACACAAACTCTGTTTCTCTACTATTGATAGAAAGGGGGGAGGGAAACATTACACACTCTTTGTTCCCCACTTTTAATTGAGAGAGTGGAGAAACAAAACACACAATCTATATTCATCCACTATTGATTGAAAGATTAGGAGAGGGGTATCACACATTTTCGGATGGGGGTGCTAGAACCACTTATTTTTTATATATTTTTTTCTTCCAATATGTACTTCTCACAGATTGTCAAATGAAAAATTGTAAACGAAGGGATTGTAGAAGAAGTGAATTGATGGCAAATACAAGAGGAGAAAAAGACATAACTGGTTTTGGTAACCGAATTTCATTGGTTGTAAACCAAGCTAAACTCGTGGAAAATATGGGGAATATGAGAAACATGTAACATCATAAAAACATTACTTTTCACACTCACTTGAATGGAAGCTGGATTTAGATCAAAACGTTGCGAGTATTTTACCACTACACTATGGGAATGTGGACGAGGGGGGGGGGCGATAATGACAAAAAACACAGAGGGAATAACCGTTGAAAGAGAGAGGGTTTGTGTTGGAAAGAACTCGGTACTCTCTAAGGAAGAAAAGAGTGATGTTCACTCTATTTTCACTCCCCCAGGAGTCACGTTAGTGATCACTTATTTAGGAGTGAATATCGATTGATCTTAGAGTGCTCTCTAAGAAAAAAAGAGTAAATGTTCACTACATTTTCACTCTCCAGAGGAGTCACGTCAGTGATCACTCGATTTAAAAAAAAAGGAAAGATAACATATTATGTAATTGTAACACTGCAAACGTATTTCCTCTATGGTGGAGAGAAGGGAAGGACATTGTAGATGTTCGTCCATATCCTGCGTATGGTAGGTATATAAAACATTTCAATTTTTTTCTTTCCACCAAGGCAAGAAGGAAGGTGTCAAAATTTACTGCGAATACATGTGGCATTCTGCAAACAATAACTTTGCCATTCTCAAGGATGTATGAAACAGAAGAATATTTCAATCACCGTTGAAAAAACACTACAGCAAGTGGAAGAGTGTTAATAGCGAAAAATGCTTAAATTCTTAAACAAACTAAGGCGAATTGGAGGATAAGAGGATGGAATGATCGACGTAGAAAACACAGGGAGAAGCAAAGGGTTTACTAAGTCGAAGTAGTGGAAAGAGAGCGCTGGTCTGGGAATCGCGATGCACTCAGTTCAAGACCATTTGTATAATGTATGTGCCCACTGGTAGGAATCAAACCAAGTATGTTCATTCGTAATATCCATGCATGATTGCAAATACATGAATGGTTGCTCCCACTGTGGCAAGTGGAATCACAAGGCAGATGAAGAACAAAATATGATTCTGCCACTCTCAAGGATGATAGAATGAAAAGCGAACAGGCAAATCAAAAGGATTAGGAAAAAGTCGTTCAAAAACCTTACACTATATATATGACAAGAGAAAGAATGATATGCATACATTCATACATATTGATATTTATATAGCGCCTTTACATAAACATGCTCAAAGCGCTTTACATTAGTAAACAAAACAGAATAATTATTTTGCTCTCCAAGCGCATACACTGTAAATTTGTTATGCAAAGCTGCATGTGTAAAGTTCAATTATTCAAAAGTTGTGCACCACATGAACAAAGCCTGGTTCATACATGTAACAAACAATTGTTTTCGAACCATCATGGTGATTACAAGTTAAATAGAACATTCATGTTATAATACAGATTATTCTCGCGCATGGTATTGGATGTAATTAGAGAATTGTAAGATCACATGACAAGTAGAATGAGGAAGCATATATCGCGCAAAGTTGAAAATTGTTCATGCAGCTCATGACTGTGTATGATAGGAGCATGGACCCTACCACAAGGTAAGGAAGGAATGGTGATACAAAAGCGAATCGACACCCACTGAGTGGGAATGGTGCGGGAGTGGGGGGGGGGGGCTGCTAACATGAGTGACACAAACACTAGAGGCATGGCGGTGGAATATAGAGACCATCGATCTTAGAATATTAGGGAGATCCTCAGTTCAAAACCAAGTTCATGCACAATTCCCTTGCTCAAGGCCATGAATCAGGAAGTTTCCTTGGGTGTGAACACGAAACATTACAAATAACGATATTGTAGTTTGGGCGGATATGGTAGATGGGAGCATACAACAAAATATAGGGATTAAATGGGAGGGGAGAAGTTAACCCTTTAAGCACGTATAAGTGCGATGGTGTTGAGTGGAGAGCAAGACAACCTCTAGTCTAGGCATGAGCATGGTTCAAAACCATGCTGATGTACACATGATCTTTGGCAACGTCCTTATAGTTACATGGAGAAGAACAAACATTTGACATAATTATAGTCAAATATGCTTTTTTCCCCACTGTGAATGCTGTGGTAAATAAAGGACTCGAACAGCAAGAGTAAGGAATCTAGGATATTGTCATTACACAAATGCAATTTTACCCCATAAGGCCCATTGACTACACTTTTTTCGGAAGAAAGAGATATGGCTCTTCAATAATAGCTGATGAAACTTTCCATCTTCTTCTCTTGTTGTTCTCCCTCCGCTATTTCAGAGATCAGCGAGATGGGCCGCAAGACATTGGGAAGTAGGTTTCACACACGGTCCCTAAAAACACTAGAAGTGCCTTTCATTGACCAAGCTTTGTTATCCGGAAATGCTCTACATCTAGATGCAAAAGAAAATTTAATCCCACCCGACTGCATTTTTGTTGTTGTTGTCTTTTTTTCTTAATTAAATCTGATGGCTAAGGTTGGACTGAATACTCTTTTGTCAATGAATCAGACACGATTATATTCGAGGGGCCAAATCTTTAATGTGTGAAATAGGACGACTATTTCAGTACATGCTCCTAGCTTATGCAAATGCTGTAAAAAAGAATGATAATTTTGGAGACCAGTAATGTGTTATACGATAAGAAACTGCAGCTACAAAATAATTTTGCAATTTTAGGAGTGACAGGGTCGCATGCCCTCACCTAAATCAAATGGCGGGGAGAAGGAATGAGAGAAAAAAAAGAGAGAGAGAGAGAGAGAGAGAGAGAGAGAGAGAGAGAGAGAGAGAGAGAGAGAGAGAGAGATAGAGATGATTTACCTTCCCAGCCCCAATATTATTTTTTTGGCCTTGTTGAAACGCAACTCATTTACCAATCCACCAAAATTTCCCTCTCTGTTTTTTAGCTTTCGCAGAAAACTTACATGACGCATCTTCAACAAAGCTGGCGGTATAACCATTGAAAAAACAATAATCTAGAAATCTACACGTACTAAATGGACGTAAAACAGAGAGGGAAGCTGTCATGAAACTGTAATATGTTACCATTTTCCTGTCGAACTAAGAAGAGTATTATGTAGTCATAGCGATGATTTGATAAATGTGGATGGTAAGAACAATATTATGTCTCATGCTAGCCCTATTGTTTTGTTAAACGTTTAAATGTATGTACGTTTTTTAATGTGTCTGTGTCTGTCAATCGTGTCGACTGACTGTTTATCACACGAAACCGATTGCGTTGTGCTGCACTGAGCAAAGCTCAAAGGGTAGCTGCGAGCTCGAGTGCACTGCTGACAGCATTGTGTGTGTGGACGTGGGGAGAATGAGTTGAGATTAATTTTTGATGTGATATTGAACAAGAATTTGTCATTATATAACCAAGGGTTAGCCTTAAGGGCTTGCTGATATTGAAATATAAAATTGATATCACAAAACCTTAATTGCTACCCATAGCATTTAAACCCTACGAGTATGAGCACGATTGACATGATTGAGAAGAGGCAGGTAACCAAAACAAAAATTGCTGGCCCTAATCGGTAAATAGCTCCTTTCCCCACCAAACTTCATCTTCTTCTTCTTTGCTTGGCTTCCTCCAGTTTGGAGAACTGCAGTTGGTGCAGGTGTTGGTAGTACACATATAAAAAGGATAGGCAGGTTTACATGCAGCGGCATCACATACATGTAGTGGAACGTTTAACGTGGAGGTCAAGTATGAAAATTGAGAGAGAGATTGTGAAAGAGTGAGGGGTTGATCCAGTCAGAAAGAGATGTGTGAGAGCAGGAGCCAAGTAGCGATAGCTTTGTGAAGCATTCACCCTTTGTTTTTGTGTAGGAATAATGGCTCTCCAAACGAACATTGCACGATGGCTTAGGAGTTCGCTAGTGGACGGTTCTTTCTTCTCATACAAAGCACTTTGAAATTGGTCAAGAATTCAACAAGAATATGAGATTTTGTACCGGAGTGATATATTATAAGGATGACGAGATGGTGACATTAAATTAAATGTGTTTGATTTTGAAAAATCAGCCTATGCCCTCATTACACCTTCAATTCATTCATTTAAAATACAAATGGTATTTATCAAAATTTATGACTTTAGAGAGCAGTAAGGGTAAATGCATGTATTATTTGTTTTATTTTATGTTTTGAGATCACTTTACTTTGGGAGAGCAGTTGTAGACAATGAGAATGCCTCAATAGGCGTGTCTGCACTATTTCGAGATTGCCAAATATCCAGCTATTTGAACTATCCCGATCGCAAACTATCCAGCCAATTTACGCCTTCATTAGAACGAAGTAGCAAATTAGCTGGATAGTTGGTCGGGATAATATCCCAAGATATCTTGGTCTAGTTTGCAAAATATCCCACTATTTCCGAACTAGCGGGATAGTTTGCGACCGTCTTCATTAGACCGAAGTACGGAGTCAAATATCCCGATCCCATCATGCACAACGATTTCCGGTTCACCATGTTAACTAGTTGTATTAGTGCGCGCACATGCGATCTATACCGCTCAGCGGTGCATGATGGAATCGGGATATTTGACTCCGTACTTCGGTCTAATGAAGACGGTCGCAAACTATCCCGCTAGTTCGGAAATAGTGGGATATTTTGCAAACTAGACCGAGATATCTTGGGATATTATCCCGACCAACTATCCAGCTAATTTGCTACTTCGTTCTAATGAAGACGCAATTAGCTGGATAGTTTGCGATCGGGATAGTTCAAATAGCTGGATATTTGGCAATCTAGAGATAGTGAAGATGGGCCTTATGGGTGAAACAGAATTTTGATCTCTTTGTTTCACTCTCACATTACAGCCCAGACATACCTTCATGTATCTGTAGCTGTTTGTATGAATAAAGAGCCTGGAGCAGGAAGCTAAGAAGATTCACCAATTTGAGCTGATTATTAATCAAGCAGTAAAGCATCATGCATCAACAAAGGTAAGGATTATCATGGGATAGTATACATAGTGCATTAGCAAATCCGCACTGCATACAGGTGAAATCATGATCGGAACAAGACTGAGTTCAAATCCGGCTCAGTGTGGCATAACCAAGAGAAGTGCATAACACTAATGTGCAAACATCACAACATAAGTACATGTATTTGTGTTATAAAACAGGTCTGCAATATGAATATAAACTTGAAAAATTAGCAACAACCCGATCATAATGCCATCAAATGGACAGTCATGGAGGGGGGGGGGGGGGGGGGGGGGGGATGCTGGTGCCATTTTGTTTTAATAAAAACACGGTATATAAGTCTCAATGAGCGCATCAACGTCCTTGCTATTTGCAACACATGTACCTGCATTTCATCGCATCTTTATTTTGTATGTACCAGATATACGCACCGTACATGTACGCACACCTTGAAGGACATCTTTACTATGCATTAGCGCTTTGGGGAACTTTTTTGCATGGTAGGCATGGTAGTAAAGAATGATGCATGGTCACGGGGTGTCATTTGACCAATTAGATTGCCTACATTCTAGAACCCGCTGTATAAAATGAGCTAAGTACAAGAGTGACCTTTCATCAATGCTCCTATAGTCCTATTCTGAAAGTCATTTCAGTACTTCTTAGCACCAATTTATGGCAAGTAAAAATATGTCCAGAGTGCAAAATGCTTATTTAAGTTGTTGAAAATCATAATATGATTGCTTAGAGGTTGGAACATGTTGAAAGGATATACCTACAGCTAGTAAATAAATGAACTGTAACTTTAATTGTGCTAAATACTACTAAACTGTCAAAAAATATAAAATTGAATGATATAAATCTGTTGTTCTTCTATGTTTGAGTTTCACTGAATTCTGGTTATTTGAATATTGACAAGATTATTCAGATCATCATGAAATAGTATTGTGACACATTACATCTAACAGTAGCATTGCTAAGATACATGCAGAAAGGTGTCATTTTTCAAGATTTTGCCCTAATTTCAGGCTCTGGCACGTTTGTTTTGGTTTTGTCAGTCTTCACAAAGTGCAGAATGTGTCAGGGTCCAACATGTCTGTTTTCAGGCTTATTGAGTGAAACCAATCAGCTCTCTCAACTTCCCTTGTTATATTAGATGAAGGAGAGGGCCTTAATTTCAAATAGCATTGCCTTTGCATATAAAGCACTGACAATGTACTGTTACAGCATGAATGTAGCATCTTTTATCCAAACACTTTTATGATAAATACTTGTAGGGGCCTTAATTTCAAATAGCATTGCCTTTGCATATAAAGCACTGACACTGTACTGTTACAGCATGAATGTAGCATCTTTTATCTAAACACTTTTATGATAAATACTTGTAGGCCTGAGAATCCAGAAGAAGGTCCTTTAGTAGAAAGGTCAGTATTGGTTGATGTTTGTTTGTTTGTCAGAGTGCTGTTCTTCAAGAGCATGAAATCAATCAAACTTTTTGTTTTCAAAGCCTAGATTTAGTAGTCAGACTGTGATATCATTTTTTAAGTTTCATGAATGTAATTTAGAATAAAAGATGACCAAAATTTCTCATTATTGCAGTTTAGTTTTTGTTTTGTTGTGTATTGGGAAAGATAATCCCATTCTGTTCGTGTACCATTTCTCTATCTTTGTTTTTTATTTCGGCTTATTCACGAAAACAGTTTTAATCCACAACTCACAGTAAACATAAATAATTGATATAATATACTTGCTACAGAATTTATCCAGAAATATTTTTGGGGGGTTTTCCAGTGGGTACACTGGGGAGGGAGTAAAGGGGTCTTTTCTTTTGATTAATTTGGAAAAACATGGTATGAATCCTGTATGATAATAAAATATTTAGAGTTTGGTTTCTGTGAAACATTTGCTTTGGATTTACCAGTAAACATGGGATGGAATCTGAAAGGTACAATTCTCTATATTTTATTTTACGCTGTACATGTACATGTAATGTAGTTGCAATTTTGTAGACCATTATCTACTGTAACAAACAAAAATGTAGCAGCTACATGTACATCGCTATTTTAGTACAGAGATTGTGTAGCCTCATCTGCTATATGATATCTACATACATGTAGTTCATATGTGTACTAGATTAAAAATGTGTTTAGAAATAAGATTGTGCCACAGTAAATCATTGTGTATTACAGCTTGTATTTATTCCATATTAGTTGATGCTGTTGTTCCTTTTTTTAATTATTGCAGTTCACCTAACACACATTTATAGCGAGTTTTGACAGCACAATATTTTGTTTTGAAATTGCTATTGGCTACTCTAATAACTTTAACATCTTTAACATCTTTTTACAAAACCATCGTTTTTTTCCCCCTTTTTTTCCTTGTTTTCGTTTGCTTACTTTCCTTTAAACACCAATTTATAGTTAAAGTTACAATATGAAATAGAGCTGGCAGTTTTCAGTTGCTTTTTTCTCTGTTTGAACACTTAATCTTCAGTATCATCAAAAAGCATATGTTTCTCTGTGAAAAAGCATGCAATTTGTATTATGTGTACTTGCATGCAGACATATAACAGACACTGTTAAAATGCTTGAATCATACAATCAACATACTGTACAATACAGTTCGAGGCCTCAAATCATTATTTAATAAATTAAATTTACTGGGATTGGTCTAGTGTTGAACCTGCCCTGATTCTAGATCTAGGACTAGTAGTGTTTCCCATCTACATGTACCTGTAGGTTTAATAGCAGTGGTGTCTGATACACAGGCCTAAGATAATACAGTGTACATGTATGTACTGAGTAGCAACTTGCTACAAATTATGTACTAGCAGCAATACAGTTAGTGAAGTCAATACATGTTCAGTGTATGAACATGTATATTAATTTACAATTTTTTTTTGTTTAAAGGACTTACTTTTTTTAGTGTTTAAGCTACCTGTACTGTTGGATATATTTTAAGTAAAATGGCATGTGCCTTATGATTTAAAAATATTGAATGGAAATAATTAAAGCAATATTGCTCAAATAATTTATATGAAAAAGAGATAAAGTGGTCATTTCCTCTTTAGTGCATGTTACTGATTGCAGGAGTACATTTCAGTATTATGATTAATTTTTTTAAACAAAAAGAGAGGATATTTCCTGGTACAAAATTTCCTGGTTAATTAATATCTTCATAGTAAAATAACATGTACTCCTAAGCTGGCATTGGCCTTAATATAGTTTGTGTGAATTATAGATCTCCTATCTTGTTGTAGGAAGAGAGTAGATCTGCTCCTATGAAAAATAAAATAAAAGTAGTACCGGTAGCCGTTCATAAAACATCTAAATTGTAATTCATGTTGTGTCCCAACGTTATGTCATTTTACTTGATGTTTGAGCAGTTACGCACTCTTACACTTTGACTTGCTTGAGAAAGATGTTAATTTGGAGACCTCAAACATAGAAGACCACTACTTATTATTGGTGAATGGACTACCCTGACAAAAGATTAAAAGTAAATAAATAAACACATTGTATACTGTACATGTAGACAACATGTGTAATTCAGTAAACAGAGCTTTGTAAAGATACTACATGTACATGTAGATAGCCCTCTTTGTACTGCACAGGTGTGTTCATTCATAACAGAAATTTGTCCTGGTATCCATCGTAATTCAACCTCAGATACGTACATGTGAAGTCTGAGTGGAATTCATACATTAATCAGATTTGTAGGACAGCAGCATATATTGACCTCATGGTGAATTTCACCAGGTTATTTACTGCTCTACATACGGTATACAGGTTTTGGATTAATCTTGTTCTTAATATGCCTGAAATTATGTTTTGTAAAAGCAAATTTTGAACATGTTGATCATAATAACGCAGGTATGTAATTGCACAGAGATTGATATACATGTACACAGCCATTCAATTTGCACAATGATTTGCTGGTTTCACTTGTCAGTTCATACTCTAGTTTCTTACAAGGTCTTTTTTTTTTCATAAAGAAAGGATTAATTAATTGTTTATGTGACTCGTGACAAAATAAAGAGGAAATCTTCTATTATGACTTATAAACTACCAGAGTTACAGAATACATAGAACTCTTTATTATGGTGAAAATTTCAAGTTTTATAGTCTACCGGTACATGATTACAAACAGGTTTACTACATTGATTACGTTGACTACTGAATTCTATTATTCCCATAGGCATTATACAGGGGCTAGCTGGTTCGCATAGGCAAAGGGTTAAGATTGCACACATGTACTGTACATGAGTTATGTATTAGCTTTAATTAAGTTACCCATCATGTATATGTAATAGTTTGTGAATGATATTCACTTACATCCTACATTGAATTACACTCTTGTCGGTGTCATAATTGATATTGATTACTGTTTGTGTTTGATTTTCAGGAACTGGGAGGCTGGCTACTCTTCCTCATCCTATGATAAATATGTACAGGAACAGTCAGGAGGCAAGAAATCTGTGGCTAACAGGTAAGATAACATCATGTGCTTGAAGCCAGAGATGCATTTAATTCATATACATGTCTCATTGACAAACCATTTTCAAGGAAAACAAAATTGGTGGGTCTTTGTAGACAGGTGGTCTTTCTATACAGGTGGTTGTTATAGCAGGTTTGACTGTATATACTTAACACACAGTGAACATCCTTCTGACCCCAAAGATACAACAGACAGCCTTTTCACACACAGCTAAAATTCATCGTATCTAGAGATGATTAGTATAAACGTGTTAAACTCAACAATTTTAAACATATGATGTTTATAGAAAATTTTCCCTGTGTGAACATTGTTTATACGATGTTGGGATAGATACAAAGTCGCGATTCATACGCCCCTAAAAGCAGGCTGCAGATACGAAGTTCGTATCTAGAGAGCTTGACATTTTGTGTGTGAAAGGTTATTCGTGTTTAAACGTGTTTCAGACGTGTTTAAACTGCGCTTTGATTGATATGACATGACCTTCAATGCGCAATGGCACTACTGCGCATTTTACAAGCAGTAGTTAATCACGAAACGATTAACGAGCGCACCGAAATTTCTGTTTGTGAATGATGTCGTATGTACATGTGATTAGTTTAAACACGTTTATACTAATCATGTTTATAGAATTTTAGCTGTGTGTGAAAAGGCTGATGTACATGTACATGTATGTTGGCAAAAGTCTCATTATTAATGAGGGAAAAACCCAACTGAGTATAAGACTGACTCACCTATGTCCAGGAGCATTCAGGGAACAAGTCTTGTTTGACCAGGATTTTCATAACATGACACTTGTTTTACAAAATTCAAAAAAGTGTCATGTGCATTTTGAGTTTCTCGTTTCTAAAGTTGGTGTAAAGGTCAAACAATGTTGATACTGAAAAAACACAGTGATCAAGTACTTAGGGAAGACACAAGATGTCTCTCTGTGCCTTTGTATAGCCTTTGTAATTCATCAAGCTTCACTAACAGTTATTTATAATTATGATTGTGTTGGATGCAACAGCAGTTCCTGATAATGAGGAAAGATATTGAGATTGTCGTACTGTGACTATTTCTTTGTCTCTTTGTCTCTTTGTATAGAATGCAGCAGCAGTATTGGGTGACCAAACAGAGTATGATCAAGAAACTCGGAAGGAAAGAAGATGAACATGTGATAGCTGGTGACTCGGAGCTTGATGCCAAATTAGAAGTAAGAACATCAAATAATCATTTGTCATATTCTTTTTCAAAATTGTGTATGTTAAGTGATTGATGTTTGCTTACAACAAAAATAATAATATTAATATTTTGATTTATACAGCACTTTTCCCAGAGTATCCAATGCGCTATTCCTTAGTCTAAGGAAAAATTAAGAATTGTAGAGGTGTGTTTTCAAATGTTTTTTGAAGAAGTCAACTGAAGTCCTATTTTTCAGACATGCATTGAGGGCAATGGATTGATAGGTGTTCTTTGTTGCAGAAAGAGTTAATTTGAACAAGTATCCAGTATAGTTTGTTAAACACTGGGGTAGTATGGGACTGTTTCAGTTCAGTAAGTCAGAATGCTAAGATAGCCAGTGACTCTACAACCCAGGCTCTAGTGACAACTCTCCCATGGTGAACTTCTAACCAATCAACCCTAAACCCAACACTGATGTGCAACCCAACCCCAAACCTCATTCTAACTTTTATGCTTTTGTCATAATAAAGCCTGTAGCAAACATTACTGAAGCCTGTTTTAAAATACCAAACTGGACTAGCTCTTATTTGTTGGTAGTTAAGCGATGAGGGAACTTTGTATTTTGAAAGTGGTTTGAAAGACGAATGCCTTATCCATGGGTATCCACAAACCCACATTCTTCATTTTGAACTAGGGAGTTTAGATTTGAGGACATATGCTCTAGATCCTGAGCTGATACAAATATTTTTTTCACTTGTTATGGTTGTTTACAATGTGTAGGGGATGGAACAGAGAAGTCTAACAGGAAGTCAAAGAAGACATCTTCAATAATAAAATAATTAGGATGGACAAATATTCATGGAAAAAAAATTGATGTGGGAAATGATGTGGGAAATTATGTTTGGAAAGTAGTTTAGCTATTTGCTATGCATAAATATACAGATTAGTTAATCATTTTGATGTTTCTTTTGATTGTTGCAGGTTTTCAAGTCAATTCAGAACACATGTATGGAAATGCTGAGAATAATAGAGAATTATCAAGACAATTTGTGTGGTAAGTCATCTTGTGTGTTAGTTAGGGATATGGCAGATGTTTTCTAAAATAATAGTAATGATAATGGTGGCTTAATAAATAGTGCACAATCTGCACATGTCCACCATGCCGTGAGACTCCTAGTATTCCAATAGTATTACCCCTGTCATAGCTGGCGTCCAAATATGTAGTGCTCTGGAATATTGGGTACTCACTTGCACCTGGATGTAGAGTGGCAAAATAGATTAATGTCTTGCCAAAGGATGTTGGTGCCAGGATTTTGTAACATGGACTATCTTGTTCCGTGGGTCCCAAAAAGTGATTAGTTAGCATTGTTTGGCTTTGAGACATGTTGATTTAACTTGGATGAAGTATGCTTGGTTTCATCAAGTTTACATTTTTCACCAAATTTAAAGCTCTGTTATAGTAAATAATACATTTTGATTTCATATCACTTGCCCTATGATAACCAAAGTAGTATCTTCACATATATCAATTCCTTGACATCGTTGAGACTTTTAAATATTTTTGTAGCATTATCTTGAGAGGAAGGGGTGGGTTGATTCTTAAAGCAGTTGCAGATGATTGGTAGAGAAAAGACTGGAGGGGAAGACCAGAGAAAGAGACAGACAGACAGACAGACAGAGAGAGAGAAGGAATATAGTGTAAGGGGAGAGATGTTAATAACATAAATTGTTACTTTTCTTTTAATTGTTGTGTTTGTATCATAGCATTATCTCAGGAGGAAGGTAGTATGGGTCGTTTCTTGAAGCAGTGTAGTAGTGTTGATAAGACGAGAGCTGGTAAGATGATGGCTGCGGTGGGTAAAGCACAGACTAGTTCATCAGAACAAAGGTAAATATAACTACTCTCTTATTAACAACTCATCTATTATGATGACTACATCAATATAAGTAATATTATTATCATTAAGTTTTGTTTTGCAGAGAAAATTTAGGAGAGGGGATTTTCAAGGATTGAGAGAATTGCAACCATTAAAAAATCTGAATGCTCATGTTATCAAATAGTTCTTACGTTCATCATCAAACAGTAATAAAAGAAATCGTTGAATATTCCTTGTTTGAAACAGAGTAAATCTATTTATGATGAATAGAATGTTTTATGTTTTACATCTAAGTAGATCCTTGATATTTGATTGGAGGATTGTTGGTCACATGATATTCAATAAATAATCATTAAAAAAAATCTATAAATTCTATAATTCTATCAAATTGAAAGACTTCGTCATTGTGTGTGCATATGAAATTAAGGTTTAGACACATTTTCTCTAGTTCGAGTTTCACAGCAAGAGAAGTATTCTTGTTACATAATAAATGGTCTACTGTGATGACTGTGTAATAATAGATAATTATACTCTCTAAATGTCCCTAGGCAAAACAAAAAAATGACAAAGAACATCAACAAGAAAAATAACATCAAAACACTCGCTTAGACTAGCATGAATACAGTGCATTAATTACATTTTTTTAAACTGAAGTGATAATGCTCTCTCAAGTTCTAGGGATGTTTTGCAGGTGCGGGGACAGGAAAGAAAGACCCTTGTGTGAAAGGGATCTACAAACAAAGTACAAAGAACTTTTGTTTTTATATACATGTACATGGCTTTGTGAAATACAACACTAACATCATACAGCCAACTCCTTTCAATACATGTAGCATGTAAACTGATTCAGAATCAAATTACATGAAACAAACCTCTTGAATCAGCCGCATTGGTTTGAGAGCTCAAGTGTACCAGTAGATATGAAGGATTATCATCTGATGTAAGGTTTGCTAGCCTTGCCAGTCAAGGTGTGGGAATGAATAATACTCTCAAACCCTCACATATAGGGAATAAGATCCCATGTAATTGATTGCTAAATATGAGAGTTAACAGTTATTATCTCACTGCAAATATATTAACATTGACTATTTCATTGAAGGGGAATTACCCTTTGATACATGTATGAATAGTTGAAAACAGAAATGTGAAAAATATGAGATTTCAAAATAAAATTAGACATAAAATAAAAAGATTTCCTAACTTTTTAATTTCATTATCATATGTGGAATCTTTTGCTGATGGTTCAGTCATGATATATGATACAATACATCTTCATATTTGTTGTATTCATTATAAAAACTTGAAAAAGAAGTAATAGATGGTTTTCCAGTCATCACCCATTGGATATTGAGTGATCTCGACTTACAAACAAAATCATAACTTTCTTATTCCTTGTTTGATATTAATACTTTGTTCTTGTTCTCTGATTATTCTTCTTTTATTTTGGTCTATTTTGTACAAAAGATTGATAGGTAAATAAGGTTTATAAGAGTATGAACCAAAGCATTGAGTATAACTTTCTATCTATCTAAGTATCTTCTCCCGGTTCGGAGGTTGATTGCAACATCTCTCCATTTCACTCTATTTTCTGCCATTCTGGAGCACTCTTACAGTTTTAGTCCACTCCAGTTCTTGACATTCTCTTCCGAGTTGATTATGGGTCTTCCTCTCGGTCTACTTCCTTCCACTCTTCCTTCCAATACATCAGGTTTTGGTGCCTTTTAACATGACCAAAGTATTTGATTTTTCTCTCCTTAACTAATCCTACTAGTGCAATTTGTTTACGCCCTGCCACGTGCAATATCTATTTGTTGGTTTTCATTCGTTTCCAGGATATTTTCATCATTCTTCTGTATAACATGAGTATAACATGGTATCCTAAATCTTGAACTGTTTTCAGATTGGCCTTGCGTCCTCCCCTTGCAAGGTTGTACCAAGAGATTGAGACGTTCCGTTACCGTGCTATCTCAGACACACTCATGACAATCAATCGAATGGAAGGATCTCGGTTAGAATACAGAGCAGCTCTGCTGTGGATGAAAGATATCTCTAAAGAACTTGATCCAGATACATATAAACAGCTTGAGAAGTTCAGAAAGGTAACACGTCTAGCTATCTATTGAGTTATGATTTTCATGATAAATCATTGTGGTTTAGGGGTTTAGTTACTTGAATTTTAAATATTTACCAGGATTTTATGTTCTTGAAGAAAGAACAGTATATCTTTCAATTCATATTTAGTAAATTGGTTGCTTGGAGAAGAAACTAATTTGACTGCTATGAGTGCTATTAGGTAGAAAGCTGAAAGGAGTGATTATATTGAACACTAAAAACATCATTTCAAACTTATTTGAATGATTTACATATGGCTAATATTGTAAACATATATACATAGCAGTGATAGTTTCACTCATGGATTTGTTGTTATGTTTGTATGATACAGTTCTTTCCCCTGATTATTTTCCCTTCTCCTTAATCATTTTAAATAGTGTACATGTCAGATTAAAAAAGGAAAGAAGTAGTTTTTTATTTTCATGTTGTGAGCAGTCATCTACCAAAGTGTCATTTTCTAATCCCACCAGGTTCAGGCTCAAGTACGTTCCACCAAGGCTCGCTTTGAGAAGCTCAAGAACGATGTCTGTCAGAAGGTAGATCTCCTTGGAGCTAGCCGCTGCAATCTCTTCTCCCACACCCTCGCCTCCTATCAGAACACACTCCTTCACTTCTGGGAGAAGACGTCAAGAACCATGGCTGCGGTCCAAGAAGGCTTCCGGGGGTATCAACATTATGAATTCAACATGCTCAAGGTAAGGCATCATTGTCATAGCAATCATTATTATGATCTTCTTTATTGTCGATACCATCACCAGGAACTTCATATTCAACAGCTTTAATAGAGTGGTGAAGTGTGACGTCATCAAAATCTATTTTGGGAATTTCTCAATTTTCTCTTCCATTTTCTCGAAAGAGCATCAAAAAAATATGTCTGAATGTATTGGCTGAGATATGGTCATCTGAATAAATAGATTTCATATGGGAACACAGTGATTGCTTTGGTTCATAACATTACGAGCCAGAGCAATATAACACTGACTCCCTATAGGAAATCTATTTATTTAGATGGTCATATCTCAGCCAATACTTAACATATTCAATTGGTTTTCGACATTTGGACATTATTTTTGATGCTCTTTCGGAAAATGAAGAAAAAATTGAGAAATTTTATAAACGCATTTTTACACAGCTTTGGTACTCTATAGTGAAGTGAATATTGAGTTAAAAGATAACCTCACTAAATCACCACTACCCCTCCCTCTATATTTAAAATAAGAGGTATAAATATATATGTTGATGTACGTTCTTTAAATGTATTGGAAGCCACTCATCTTGTATGTATTGTCCAACTATTTGTGCAAATTCTGTTTGTTTGATGGTTTAATTTGTTTCATTGTTGTAGAGTTAAATTGAATTTGTTTAATAAAAGTATTGAAATAGACCATCAATGTTTTGCTGTGATTATGTAAGCTTATTTTGCAGTGATTACTATACGTACATTACATCCCAATTTCCCAATTGCTCTGTTGTTTTAACCCGTAATGTGCCAGATTTGTATACCAAACTAGACTGAAAAATAGATGTATTTAATATCTCTGTGATGTTTCTCACGTAATACGATCTAAAACAAAAGGCTGACTGATGGACTATAGAATCAGTAGAATCAGCCATACATGGAACATTAGGAACAAAACCATTAACCAATTAGTGAAACCGCAGTTGTATTACCAATGTGATTTTACAAGGGTTTAACATCCTAAAGATGATATGCAAGACAGTGTGGAAGAGAGTGATCCTAATCATCCCAAGTAAAAGATGTAGGGATTCATCAGAAAAACAGCCCCTAAAAATTAATTGATGATCTTATAAATAAAATTAACAATGAGAGCCAGTTTTAAAAAAAAGTTGTTTTTATTGGCTACTTTCTGTTTACTGTATGTATTTTGGATGGCCTAGTTTATGTGTATTTGGTTATACATGAGTGGAGACAAGGAAATTAACTGTTTATATCTATGCAATTGGTTGAACAAATGTATAGTTCATTATGAGAATATATTGTTTTAAGAATCAAGTTTTTCCCTGTTAATCTCATGAACAGACTATTTTCTGGGCACATTATAAGCTTGGATGTGGTAAGGAAAAGAGATAAAGTATTCATGGAAAGAATGGTGTATCAGATTTTTTTTGGTGTAAAATATCTAAACAGGTCAATATTGTATGAGAAAAATTTAGCAGTGATATTTATTTAATAGCCTTGCGTTACTATATTTTACATTAAAATGTTGTGTTTACCCTTGTGTCCCTTTGTCTATTGTTTCTCCACTCATCTGAAATATTTTATCCCCTTGTCTAGCCACCCTCTCCCATTCTCTTCTCTTTTCTTTTCATTCTCTTTATTTTCTCTCTCTCTACATATCTGTTTTGATTTGCTATGTACATACTGACCCCGTGTATCTGTTATGTTTGTGATGATGTATTTCTCCTTAGGAGCTCTCGGAAACCAGTAAACAGCTTGCGGAGATGACCGGAGCTAAAGATGTAGTACCTGATTGGGATGGGCTAGAACAGAACGCTCAAGGCCGGTTGCAAACAAACGTAAATCTTCACGCTGCAACAATCATCATTTATTTAACCAACTTTCATCTCATCTTGTTTAATAGCATTTGTCTGGTTGCATGTTGTTGATTATTAGACAATGGTGATGGAACTTTGATTTTTTTTCCTGAATTTCATGGAATGCTTCTTCTTCTTGACCACGCATTAGAATGGCGGTATACGTGTAGTTCATTTTTGTTTCCTGTTTATTGTTAAAATGAAGCCCTATTCAGACATGGCTGGGTATATTGCCTCAAAGATTCCAGGGGTTGTGTTGGAGGGGTAAAGAAATCTGTGCAACAATGACCGCTGTGCATTTTCACTATTAAACCAATGTCTTATAAAATGATCGGATGTGAAGTGCACTGCTCTTCTTCTGATCTCATATTATGTTCATACAGTGGCCTTTTCAAAGCAATGTACCCTTTCATGTCTGAATATGGCTGTGTATTTAGAGACATTCTTGCATTCTCTCTTCCTTTCCATGAAACTAGATGTTTGTTATATTTGAAAACTAAAATTGCCATCTATCTTTCTTCTTTCTTTCTCTCCATAAAATGTTATGTTTGTTATATTTGAAAACTAAAATTGCCATCTGTATGTAACAAAATACTGTTACAGTCTTTGACTCAGTATCTAATTTTCATTTCAATTTCATCAATGGTTTAGCAGAGGGTGACTGTGTTAGTTGTGTCTTTTCTTGCTTCCTATCTTGTTTCTAATCATGCTCTTTTTACCCAATTATCATCATTTCAAATCATTCTTTAGATTACTTGTCGTTCTGTTTGCACTCAGTGGGAGATTAAAAGAAGCGTACACAACCCGGCTCAAATTATAACAAAGTTGCATATAAGAGTCATTAAAAAAAAAAAAAAAAAAAATTATATTACACAAGATTTTTTTCTCATTTGTTTTATTGTATTTTATTTACTAATTTATTAAGAACAAGTCACTTTGGAGGTGATGGTTGACTTGGAAGATGTATATTATTGAATATGATGGATTATAATGTCAAATCTTTTCAGAAATTTGATATACATGTACAGTGTATTGTGAAATACATGAGTTAACAGTGATGCCATTATTGTGTTCCATACTTGTCATAAGAAGAAAGAAATAATTCTTCTAATAACAAAACAAATTTATTTATTAATCTCTGTTGCTTTGAGATGTGAATATAACGAGATATGTAGAATGTAGCCCTAGCATATATAGAATGTAGCCCTTGCAAACATGTATATAGAATGTAGCCCCAGCATATGCAGGTTAGATATAATCAGTGAAAAAAATACACTGGGGCTCAGGGCGAATTAGCCCCCGAAATGCCCAAAAGAGCCCCTGAAAATCAGAAAAGAGCCCCCATAAATTTGCATAGAGTTCAATGCAAAACAAGTTTAAGAATGTTATATTCATGCGGGCAAGCTTGAAAAGTAGCCCCCGAAAAATAAATATTAATTTTTTCCCTGGATATAATGCAGGGTCTAGACTTGGGTTGCTAAAATTGGTCCTGTACTTCTGCTGTATTTGACACAAGCTGATATAGATTCAGCTGAATCATGAATTACGGTAGAATATCTATACAGAACCTGTTGGTGCTGACTAAGGTATATATGTCATCAGATATTGTATAGCCATCAGAGAATACCTTGGGTTTTTAAAGGAATATTTGTCATTGTGCCCTGACTAGTAGTGAATGATCTGAATAGAATGAAATTCATAATGCATCTCAATTCAATGCCTAAACAAATAACAATATATGCAGTCAAACGTGCAATAGACCAGTTCACGGTTAGCACATTACTGCAATGACCCCGAATATCCACAGATCTTCAAAAACATGAAGAGGTCCCACTTTGTACATTTTGAAATAATCACTCCTAAGGCGATGGAGGTGCTATATAAATAGCCTTTGTTTCCCTTTTCAAAGAGTACTTCCAAACCTGCAATACTCCCCATCCCTCTATGGAAGCATGATTGTAGAATGCCCATGATAAAAGTCAGCTATTTGCCTGTTAGAATGTGGAGAATATGCATTTATTATATCTATGACAGTCACTGTCAGCAACATTAACTTTGCTTTGTATTTCATGTAGCCTTTTTATACAGGCTTGCTGATCTTGAATATCCTTATATTGCAAAAGTTTATATGACATTTATACATTCCTTGAATTGCAGGACTTGACACAGACCAGTAAACAGCTGGCTGAAGAGACTAATCCTAAGAGAGCAAATAGGACAGAGTTTGATGAAGCACAAGAAGTGATAGAGGATAAAGAGACTCTTGAACAGGTTGCTAGGCAAAGGTAATTTAATCCCATATATAATGTGAATCTGTGTGCAGGGATCTACATTCACATTGCATGCATGTATAACTCTAGGGAATGGTCTATTGTACTTGGGGTTGCTGTGTGTATCGTGCAGATTGCACTTTAATCACTTTCCTGTGTCTCTGAGATGTATAAGGTTCACTTGAGATGAGAGGAAATGTGCTCTTAACTCTGTTAAAATCACATTCTTGTATTGTATTCAATTCAATTCAATTCAAATGAACATTTATTTTCTGCCATTCAATTTGACAACATACTTGACATCTGTTCAAACAATACAATTTATACGTAGGAACATAAATATGATTAACAAACTTGTATTACAAGAAAGAAGGGGTTGACTTGATGATGTTCCTGCTGCCATCTTATTTTAGGTTCATTTTGGTTCTCAGCTCTTTCATACATGACATAGGACTGACAGTACTGGATGAAACTATTGATAATATACTGTAACACTAGGAGAGTTTGCACATCGTTAATGATGGCCATTTCTGAAACCAGAAACTCCTGCAAATTGCAAAATTTTAGTGTTGTAATTCATTAGCATGAAACTGACGAATCAACACCATCCGCAAAGTGTCTGTACGCAAAAATGTCTTGTTTGACATTGCTGACTTGGTACAGTTGAAAAAATAGTATTTTAATGATTGAGGTGTCGTGGTTTAGTGAATATGTTGCCGGACTGTCAACGCAAGGTCCGTGGTTCGAGTCCCGCCGCGTCACTAATGTCCTTTGGCAAGAAATTGATCTACATTTGCCACACTCAACCCAGGTGAGGTAAATCGGTACCTGGCAGGAATTAATTCCTTGAAATGCTGGAGCGCTGTAATGGCAGCTAGGCTAAAGCCGGGTAATAATAAATGCACCTCGGAATAGAATTATCTAGATAGACGGCGCTATAGAAATGCCTATTGTTATTATTATTATTATTATTATTGTCTTTGTCTTGATCAGATTAATATCCCTTGGTGAAGATCCTGAAAGGCACATAGACCAGGGAGGATCTCTAGACGCTAAGAACAATGGTGTCCATGACCCTTCAAGACAAGGAGCTAATAATCTACTTGGAGAGGAGATGGATCCTGCAGAGAGGACGGCTTTCATGAATCTCATGGGAGGTCAGGAGGGAACAGACAAAGATGACTTTGGTAAGAACACTAGCAATCGAAAGGTGGTCAACCTCTATTAAAGTGACTCAGTAACATTTTTCTCAGATTCTGAAACAAAATCCTGGATTTAGCTCATGCTCCAATGATAATTATAAACCTTTAGGTCAGTCAGGAACCCCATGACTTAAACAAGCCGATTGCCTATCTGATTATCAAGATATTTGTGATTGGAAATCAATTTTTTTTTTTTTTTTCCTTAACGGTTTATGTAACACTACAGTCTGTTAGGGTAAAGGAGTTTGGTAAACTGGTTACTCAAAGATTTTTACTTTTTTGAGGCACTTCGTGATCATTTTGAAGCACAACTTTTTTAGGGTTTCAATATTACACTATATCACAGACAATGATAACATGTAGGGCCATGCACCTCAGATTTAACTTTGTTAAACGATGCCTTTAACAGTTGCATGTTAGGATTGTAGAAGATCAAAGAAATCATCGATCATTGGAAGGAAGAGATTGGAGATATCAGTTACTTGCACTGACGTTCTGAAAAATAGTCTAGTAAAATTCAATTGTTTTGTGATGCATGAAATCACAAATATATTTTGGCTTCATAGGAGCTCTAGGAAGTAGGTTTTTGTTATACCATGTATTTACAAAGAGAGTGTAATCCAATCATATTTTGATGATCAACTTGGTGTTCATGCAAGTTGCTTGTTAGAGAAGTCTACAAGAGCTTTTTGTGAAAGTGAAATTTTAAAAAATCACACAAACTTGAAGATGTAGTCAATTTTGGCAAACTTTAGAGATCTTTGATTGGCCCTCTGTTTACTTAAGTGAACATAATCATTCCCCTTGTGAATTCTTAGTGTAGGTTAATCTAGTGTCAGTAAAGGCCTGTCTTCATCAGTTTGCCAAATAACCCACTATTTTCAGACTCGGGATGTCATCCCGAAGCTCGATATTGTGTCTTCACCAGACTATTTCCCAAAGCAGGGTATTTAGGTAACAAGACCAAGATTTTTATGCCTCCGTTACGAAGTAGCCGGAGGCATTATGTTTTCGGGTTGTCCGTCCGTCCGTACGTCTGTACGTCCTGTTCTCGTGATCGCGTTATCTCAAGAACAGACTGATGGATTCCTACCAAACTTTGGTCATGTATGTAACTTGCCGAGCCTATGAACTGATTAGATTTTGGGGTCACGAGGTCAAAGGTCACAGGGCTCATTATGTATGCAAAAAAAGCTTGTGATCACGTTATCTAAAGAACTGACTGATGGATTCCTACCAAACTTTGGTCATGTATGTAACTTGCAGAGCCAATGAACTGATTGAATTTTGGGGTCACGAGGTCAAAGGTCACAGGGCTCAATATGTATGCAAAAATAGCTTGTGATCGCGTTATATCAAGAACCGATTGATGGATTCCTGCCAAACTTAGGTTATGTATGTATCTTGCAGAGCCAATGAATTGATTAGATTTTGGGGTCAAGGTCAAAGGTCATGGGGCTCATTATGTATGCAAAAATAGCTTGTGATTGCATTATCATTAGAACCGATGGATGGATTACCATCAAACTCAAGACATGCATATATATATGTATTTTGCATTTGAGGTCATGAGTTCAAAGATCAAAGGGTCATACATGTATATGAGAAATAGCTTGTATAATCACGATATTCTGCGAACCTGTTATGGATTACAACCGAACTTGAATTTGAAATATTTCTTCCGTTTTGGTTTGTAAAATTGCTCTATGACGGAGGCATCACTTTCGACTGCGCGCAGTCGAAGTTCCATCTAGTTTTGGGATGTTTTCTTGACCAAATATTCCGCTAACTGCACCTGCGGGCTGATGGGAACGCAAATTATTTGCGATGGAGATAGTTAAAATGGCGGTTATTTGGCAAACTCAAGATGATGAAGACAGGCCTCTTGTAACATCTGAACTCTCTGGTTACTGAAAGTGGAACCATAGGCAGTGATTTATCAGAACAAAAGACATCTGTTGCGTCAGCCTGTAATTCTCATTGTCCATGGCATGTATTGTGGATGTGGGTGATGCCCTGTATAGTTATAGAAGCTTTTCATTGATGAATTAAGCATTCAGCGCCAGGTAAACTCTTTTCATCAAACTTCTTTAGGTTTGAAACTGGTTTATTGTGTCAGTTTGGTCTCATGCAGATGAGGTTTAAAGCAAAGCTCTTTTGGTAGTCTCTTGTTTGTAGGAATGTTTCACATAGGTCCAATATTTGCTAAAGATCGTTTGTCATTGTTTGTCTATATTACATGAGGGTAAATAAACCATGGCCCTTTTTATGTGAAGGGAAGGGGTGTTATTATTCCCCTTCTCTCCTTTCATACTAAAAACACTTTTTAGATGATCTTTTCCCACAACGTGATCAATTGAATATACACCTGTAGGTTATTAGTCAACCCTAAACTTAAAAATAGCATAAGATTGGATAGAAGCCAAAATAATAAAATAACATGTCAATCATACATCAGATGTCATCATGCTAGAGCCCCATAGTGGCAGCTATGCTAAAAACAGTGTAATAATTGGGAGCGACAGGAGTGTCAAGTCTGAAAGATATGAGCGCTATTCAAGAACCCCTCAAGAGACTATATCATTTCTACTGGCACTCAACTTTGTTTTAAATTCAATTGTTTATTTGCCACATAGGTGCCTACATTTCAGCTGACCTGCTATCAGGTGACTTACTCAGTCAAGATGATATGAAGGATGAGATGGATTTACTAAATGAGATCCTAAACACGCCCTCTGGTGTTTCGTCAGAGCTCCCTACCCCTATAGAGGGCGCTGTACCAGGGGAGATGGAAGGGGAACAACCCTCGACTGATCAGGGTATGGGAGGCTTCATGCCATCTGATCTACTGGAGATTACATCTATGATGAGTGAAATGCCCACAGGTGAGTGGTAGATATTATCCCTGTGTCTAATCTCTGAGCTCTTAAGATTGGTGTGGGATCAGGGGAGGGGAAGTATATCATGCTTAGCCAGGATGTGAAATGTTTATGCTTTCTGGGCCCTCTTGCATAAAAAGTTGCGTTTAAATGTAACTCAAAAAATTAAACGCAACTTGATTTTCAACCAATCAGGATCGCATATTTGGAACTTGCGTTTAATTTTTTGAGTTGCGATTAAACGTAACTTTTTAAGCAAAAGGGCCCAGAGATAAACATTGAGATGTGTGAATGACCTCTTGATGAATAGTATAATCCTAGTGATTACCCCTCTATTCTGAGCTTTGACCCCATAGGAGGTGATAGCACCGACATAGGTCTTACCATCAATCAAAATGTCAGTAAAAGGATATTCATATAACACATGCAAGAAGTCTGTAGCATACTGGTACCTGTCTAGAAAGCAATCATGTTGAAGTTGTCTGTTGTTTCTCATGTTTGCTCATCAAAAAAAGTAGTGATAGTGCTAAAATTCAGTTTATGACTGGGCTGGTATTATATTTATTTTTATTCTCAAAGAGTTCTCTTTTACCTACCGGACTGAAATCTGAAAAAGAGGAGAATGATAGGTCAAATACACTTACCAAGTATTTTTTTGGTACAGACTTGTATGTACTGCTACATTTTGTCTTTGTCTAATGTAGAACAGATTTGCTATGCCCCATGAGTGAGACACCTGTTATTATTGTTCTCTCTCTCCCTAGGTTCCCCCGCCACTACACCCCAAGGTAGTAGGGAAGGGGGCATGCCAGCCCCACCCCAATACTCAGACCTCTTTGCTGATAGAATGTCAGCAGCCCAGCAAACCCCAGCAGGAGCTAACAAGACTGATTCCAGTAAACCTCAAGCCTTCAAGAAGGGACAGAAGACAGACATGTCTGCTTGGTTTAATCTCTTTGCTGATCTTGATCCTCTCGCTAATCCCGATGATATTGGACATGAGGAGGGAAAGGAGGTTGAAGATAGGAATTGTTAGCGTGGCATCGATGGATTCAATGACTTCATAGCGATCAATGCAAAAATATAAAACCTAATGTGGAGTTCTGCAGCCCTGCAACATACAGTTTTGATATTACATTTCTGTGAGATATAATTAGTAAAGGATTTTCTCTTTGACTAAGATTTTTAGAGATGTGTTATCAAAGAGGAATACAATAAAAATGTAATTATGAAAAATTGGTATAGTCCTGTTTGATTAGTTTCTGTTGTAGTTTAAAAGGTCGGATGTTCTCTCTTACAGTGGTTGTTTCCTGTTGTACAATATACATTGCATTTTTCATGCAATGTGTTATGCATCAGCCATTTGCATTGATTTCTATGAAGTCATAATCAAGAACCTCTTGTATATTTCTTTATTAGACAAAGAATATTGAAGAAGATTATTATTAGAAATTAACGCATTCCATTGTTGTACATTCTCTGTGTTGAGTATGTAAGGTGAGGAAAAGATATCTAGTATTGATAGGTTTTCAAGTATGAGAAGATGTATTTATGTGGAATCAGCTTTTGTAAAGATTAATAAAGCTGCATGTGTATTAAGTGATTTTGGAGATAGTAGATGCACATTGAGAAGTTCCAACCAAGTTTAATAGCTACATAAGAAATGTATTTATTTTATGGGAAGCTATTTTCATGACAAAAATTTGATAGTAAAAAAGGAGGCATCAATGTATGATACACAGAATTTTTCTCACTGTATGTCAAACCTTCATTATTACATTTTGGTATATGTATGTTATATTAGACTGCATACCAAATGGTAAGTAGTATGGCATTAGCAGATATGTACAAATATTTGTGAGTAATAGTTAGGGCTTAATTCCTTTTATTTGAGATGCCATACAAATAGGCTTGCCAAATTGCCCTTGTATTACTTTGATATATTTTGAAAATGTGTAGGGAATATATTTTCAAAGTTCAATTTTTTTAAAAATCAGAACTCCTTTTTATGCATGGAAATGCACACACAGATGACCTTTATGAAGTAATGATTAGGCATTCAAAATAATTTTAAAATAGAACACATTGATAGAGTATAGATTTGTAAGTATATCTTTTTTCGGGTGAAAATTCCAAGATATAGCCCAATATGCTGCTGGTTTCCATAATTAATAATATTCATTTTATTAATTTGCAATCCCATAATTATTTTATCTATCATTCCTTTGTGTTTCCTCTCTCAGAAGAATCTAAAACATAAAAGCCAGGTTTCAGAATTCATTAAGTTGATGTCAGTATTCAAAGTTTTAGCATTTCTGGGGAAGTAGTCTGCAAGGTTTAGACACAACATCATTAGTGCTTTAACGTAATACACAATCAAACTGTTACAGATTGTCCATTGTCAAAGCGCATTGTTTATCTCTTCCCTCCTTTTTTTCCTCCGAAAATAGAGTGTTGTTTGTATTATCAAGAAAAAATTGACATATATTGAGCTTGTGCCGAAAGATGGACATATGTTGAGAGATACAAGACTAGATTAAAATTGATGTTGTTTTTTTATATGAAGTGTCTTGCAGGATATATAGTTGAAATGAGATGTTTCATGATTTATACTTTCCTTTATTAGTTTTTGCTACTTTGGATGTATATGTCTGATTCTTGTATGTATAGAAGTGATGTATCATGTTATAGTAATTATCCCTATTTCCTTGTCTACAGATGGTAGTGGCTTTTTTATTCAAACACAGAAAACCGCTGATTTAGAAGGGAAAAACAAGTTGATTTATATAGCGCAGCTACTATACAAATATACTCTAATGCACTTAAAACAAGGAATCATATTATTACCCCAGCTGTATCTGAGCTGCCATGATAAGGGGTTAAAGCATTTAAGGATTTTTTCCTACCTGGTGTCCATTAATTTTACCTGGGTAGAGAGTGGCAAATATAAATTAATGTCTTGCCAAAGTGGTTGGCCCCACAGCGGGACCCTAACATTCCCATGTGATCCACAGTCTAGTGATATACCCACTAGCCAACACCACCTCTACCTTTTTATGTGTGAAGAAATGGCAAGCAGTGATGGAAATAGTAGTTATCCATGACAAAGATACTACACCTACTCTTTGTTTCTTAAAAGATTCAGGAAAGTGAAGCATGTTCCACTACGTCATGAAAAAACCCTACCATGTCATGTGTAATCAAGGTTCATACAGTGTTGCTAAAGTGTACAGGGGTCTAGCACGATAGCGAGTATGCAAACTCAATTTTTAATTGTATGTGCTGGAATTTTTTTAATTATTCTAACTTTATTTTTTTCATTTTTTTTTTTTGATTTTCAAATGAGGTTTTGAGATTATCTCTTCCTCTATCAAACCTAGGCAACATCATCTATTGAGGGCCAGAAGGACCTTAACTCTTATACATGTAGTTTAACATAGACTTCATGCTTTCTGGCTTACAGCAGATGATATACTGTATAGCTTGACCAACACTCTGACTCTCATCTTACCTCTAGCCTTTAAATGCCAAAGTAGAAACCATAAATCTACCACTGTGATCAAGTTTGTGCTATCTTGAATATTCTATGAATGTTTGATAAGAAGTGCATTTAAATGTCAAAAATGTGAAGTATTCTCAAGTCTATTTCAGCTACACAGTCTTACTTGTTTGAGTTGTTTCCATATGATTGATTTTCCGCTCTAGCCCACCTTCAGTCATCCATATTCCATGGTGTCAATATTTACTCCTCATGCTTTGTTGATTTTGGCAGTACTTAAAGAATCCAAGGCCTGTTTTTACTGAGGTACTTTGTAAAAAATGTACCTTATCAAAAAAGAGCACAAGAGTCTGATTTCAATTATTCAAGTGTTCTTTACTATCAGATTTCTTGTTGTTTTCCCCATGTGAAATGCTACCATGATATGGCTGTATTTTGGAATAATGTTGCTGGTAATGGTTTATCCTTGTTTAATTTGCACACATTTCTGGAAACTCTGTGGATATAATGAATGGATTCACATTGTAATTGATTATAATTTAATTTCTATTTGCAGGCTGTATGCTCTTTTTTAATAACCTTTATATTCTATTTTCAAAAGCACCATACTTGTATATGTAAATACTGAAGCTTCTCAAATGAAATTCAGATTATTGAGGGGGGGAGAACAATGTATTACATGCTTGGATTCAGTTATTTGTATTATTTGTTTCAATGTAGTTTTTTCCTTGTACAACACATGTACATTTTTTTTGTTAAGACATTTTTTTCCTGCAATTAATATGTTGTTGCAATTATTATAAGAGTTATTTAATCACAAGATCTGCTTCTAATTTCTCCATTTAATTATGTGCTATGAGTATTACTATTGTGCAATCTGGAATAAGGAACTATCAAGAATTATTTTGTTCTATTTGTATATAACTTCGGACTTTGATGTAGTATGCTTGTATAGTTAAGTTTCTTTTCTCCTTTTTTCCCTTTTATGATAGTTTTCCTGTTTGAACCTTTCATTATGTTATTCATAGTTTCCCTTGGGGCTGTATTCTGCAATAGTTTTCATTGTATTTTAGATTAGTTGTATTAATCAAGGGATTAACTGCACTTTCTCAAGTGATTCCATAGGATATGGAATAACTAACAACATACACTCCTCAGTCTAATGTACCCTGTGTAATGATAAAGGCTACATGCAAAGCAGAGCTGTTTAGGGCTGTCCCATTTATTTGCTATTGCCATCATTGGAAGGTAACCTGTATGTAATCCTAGAACGGTCCCATTTCATCTGTCCATTAACAAATGTATGTGTAATGTGACAACGGTACTATTTCAATGGTTTAATATATGTATCAAATGATGAGTATTCACCAAGGATTGATAAACAATATTGATAGATGCATGAAAGTATTATGAGGTTATACATTAGAATTGTGGATGGGCATACAAGTCAATGGTATACGGTTTATACCTTCTATTTATATTCCTGTGTACATCTTGCTACGATGAACTGGATGCATGATGACATACATGTATATCATGTTTCAAGGAGTAGTTTGTCTCATTGACTGGTGATCTGCAGTAAACCAGGATATCCCAGTAGACTGACAGCCCACAAGATTAATATCCAGTGTGATCCCCTAGAAAAGATGTGAGAAAAAAAGTGAGACTGTTGGTCTCAAGGGCTGTTGGTTTCATAAGCTGTAGCCACAGAAACTCTCTGGAAAGGCCTTAACCATAAAACAGAAGAGGCTTTTCCCATTTTACCGGGTACTTCATTAGTTCAATTGAAGAGGAAATTAACATTTTGTTTGAATTAATGAGCAGCATTTAGTTGTTTTCTTCTGTAGTATTTGTATTTTCATCGAAATTATTTCAAGAATACTTCAGTTCTGTGTAGCTTTATACTTAAACAATGGTCACCCAGTGTACTCATTTAGTGGGTATGTAGACACAGTGCTTGCTCTACAATGGTCACCCAGTGTACTCATTTAGTGGGTATGTAGACACAGTGCTTGCTCTAATATATATGATTAATAACAGATTTTCACTCAGTACTTTCTCTTTCATTTGTTATGTATTTATAGTCCTTAGGAGTGTTTTCAATGATGAGGAATCAGTTATTTTAGGACAGACTTGAAATGTCTGTAAATCATCATCTTTGTGGTATTGTAATGTACGAGGTGTATTTATCATTCATGTAGCTATGTTCATTGGCCACCTTTTGGTACTAATTGTGTGTTCATGTGAAATAGTACTATTCAAACTTTTCTATACTAGTTTCATCAACAAGGATGTCTTGGTCATTTAATGTTCCCATTGTGGCAATGGCAAATAGTTTGATGTACTTTCCACTTTGTTATTAAACCTGTATTAGTTTCATGCATTCATGTTTTAATGTTAACCCCAATCCCACTCCCCATGGCAATTTTGTAGAGCTAATTTTAGTACTAGTTTTCTTTGCAGCTATTTTGTATATACTTTTATTCATTTGGGCTGTGTACATTCCTAATGCTATTATTTCTGTTTTGAGTACTGTTGAGTAGTTCTACAGTAGTCCATGATAGACGAATTATATGTGTATTCTATACAGAGAAACTGGTTGGAATAAAGAGTTTAATCCTTATCATAAATGCAGTTATCGATTCATGTAAATTTATTTATTTGTATGGTCATTGTAATAGATACCTACTGATAGTTAGCATTGTAGGGAACGTAGAGAGAGGGAGAATGAGAAGAAGATCAAGAAAAGAAGAAGAGAGAGAGAGAAAGAGGGAGAGAAAGGGAGAGAGAGAAAGAGGGAGAGAAAGAGAGAGAGAGAGAGAGAGAGAGAGAGATGAGGAAAGACTGAAAGAGGGGAGACAAGTGAGAGAGAAAGGTTGAGATAAAGTTAACAGAGGATAAGAACAAGACTGATGATGGAGAGTGGTACATTTTAATTGTAAAGTGCTTGTTGTCTTCTAGATGTCCTTATCTTTTGTTTTTTAGAGATACAATTGACCTGTTAGTGATGAATATGACAGGGAGTGCATCTGTTGTGAAAGGTAAGTAAAGAACTGAAGAGGAGAGAAAACAGTGGGATGGGGCAAGGAATGCAAAGACATAAAAAAGCAGGAAAAGACAAAGAACTTGGGATAATGACAGAGAAAGAAAGTAGTGAAAGATTTACAGTGAAGTTTATAAGTGTTCATTATTTTGTAAAAGAGCAAGAAGAGAGGGAGGGGTAAGTCTCAATTGCAACAATATTGTCATAGCCATCTTGATGTGTTTATTACATGTATCATACTTGATTGATAACCTGTCTACTGTGCATTTACCAAATGTGTTGGGGATTGTATATATATATACAGGAAGGAGAATGTCAGTATAATGGTTACTCTCTTCCTACGTTTGTCTTTTGCACTGGTACAATCAAGGTCAGAATGCATTCTGTCTACCAGTAATCATCTTTTATTTTTTTTAAATACCCATGTTTCATAAAATGCCCCTTTTATTCTGTTTTCCAAACACATCCATCTAGGACAGCATAATTTTCAGGCTTGGGTATCTAGAGACTAGAGTAATGTAGAACCAAAGACTTCACAACATGACATTTTTTACAAGCTATTAGAGATTGCATGTTTTTGCAAGATGAAAACCAAAAATGTCTAGTAATGATTCCATTGTTTCTGGTCATGGAACTTTCCTTTAAAAAACCTCGCAAAATTTAAATGTTCTGGTTTTACAATTCATTGTTTGCCATCTGGTGTCTGCCCACGCAATTTGATTTCACTAGGATTCTACATTTTCTCATTGGTTTTTATAAACAGATGTATATTATGTTATCAAGTATTTGGTTCTTAAGCTGAAAACCATTTTCTAGCTTGATGGTACCTGTACATCATACAGACATTCATAGGCAAGTCTAAGCTATCAATACCATACATTACCATCAGCACCATTTAGTATACATGTATCTGATCAGAGCTCATCAGACCAAGTGTTGTTGGTCAATTGATGTTCAGAACTCCACAATACTAGGTAATATATGGAACACTATATGACCAAATATCTTGGACTTGCCTACATATATCGTCTGCTCAGAGCCAGAAGAAGGTTAGCTCTGTGTTTAAGTGTACAATATTCTTCAGACTCCAGATGATATATTTGATATACACTTGTGACCAAACCTCCCATTTTCTCACTTTCATACTATTGCACTCACATCACAGCCATTCACATTCACACAGTGAATTTGAAATACACGACAGTATCCACACCCAAACTATGGGTCCAAAGTCCAAGTAAACTTTCTATATGATTGGGATAATATTCAAATAGAGGCTTGTTGCCTTGTTTGATAAATTGAAAGAAGGGTAAATGTCAACTCTATGAACACATGTCTAGTCTACCTTTGACTATTGAACATGTTAATACAATCAGCATATTGTATCTTCAATATATAATACACATGGGGGGGGGGGGAGGGGAACAAAAGCCATTTCTGCTCTTAGCATTCCTTTTTCCTTCCTTTAGTTTAATAGGTGGGAAAACTGTACAGGAAGACCCTGATTGCTCATTAAGAATGAACATTCAAGTGAAGAATTGTAGAGTTTTGTATTGTATGCTCCATTTGTTATAATAGGCTGTTTTGTCAAGTGGATTTGAGATTAAAACAAAGGAAAAAAAAAACATTTAAATTGCTTCCATGTTTTTGCCATGATTGATGTTATATATCATTCCACAGATATTGGTTCAGGTCTACATCATGTTTATCAAAGGAAAAGCTTAGATCACTGTCGAACTTCCTTTGCTACACTTGACTGTATGCCAAGCATCAAGGTTTTACCTCTGGTATATCACAAGCCAATATATACAACATACCAGTAATAGCATGTCATTTATGAAGGACCCTTTCGGAAAAGAAAAAAAATACACATTCACCAAAACAAAGAAAGACTGAACAAGAGATATAGAGAGACACTAAATCTGGTGTTTATTAGCAGTCACAATAGTCGTTGAGTAATAAATGTGAAGAGATGAATTCCCATAGTATAAATGACCAGATATTTAAAGAAAAATATATTACATCTAATAATGATTTCTAAAGTGGATAGTAGACCCTCGTCATATATAATTTGTATTCTGTATAAAAGTATGATAGACAAATCTGAAGAAAATAGATCACATCATTTAGTGAGAATATAAAACATTTCTTTGTGAGTTACGCGTTGTGAAATTTTTGCATACCCTCAGTTCGATGATTACACACAAGTGATAGGGAATAGTATTTCCAACATTCCTATCTAACACTATTTCCTTATTTTTCAATAGAAATGTGTGCTATATGTCCTTGCTAAAAGCAAAGCCCTGGCTGGCTTCATAGAAACTTGAGTTAGGTAATGGTTACTTTTTTCAAAACGCATGTCTTTGGTATAAGGATATATTTGCTATTAATGTTACTTAAAAGAAAAACCCAATTCCTATGAGTCTGACACTTTTAGAGAAACCCTGCCATGAAAAATAAATGTTTTAAATGGTTTGCTTTTGAATGCACATCTCTATATCACCATTATGAAATAAGTTGTGAACAAATGAAGAACATACTTGAAACAAACCAGCTCTTGAGAGAATTACAATGATGATGTACATGTAGGACATGTATACGAACAGCTACAAGGACACATGAAGCTTTCACAGCCATTGATCAACAGCTCTACTTACAACGATACAACATGTAGTTTCACTTCCCCAAAAACATTATACTATAGTATCCTTACATTGTATTTGCTTCACTTTTACAGGAAATACACAAGCTATTGTTCCTTATGAGACCGAGTAGAAGTGCGATATGATTGAGAAACCACAGAATAAATCCTTTTAGACATTGTTGACTTCTAATACTATTCAAACAGAAATTTTCTGGTTGGGAAAAAAGCATCTAGTCAAAGATGGTGAAACTACAAAATAGAATAATATGATGTGCATTGTGTCATATATATTTGTACATGATATATCATTGCTCAAAGTACTCAATCTTTACTCACAGTATCCATTCAATTAACATACGTAGTGCACATTATTCAAGGCCATTACATGATCTATAGTATTGGTACCTATGCATTAGCAAGCAATGCACTAGCTCCATGATGGAACTCTGTGAGGTTTCTAAAGAAAGCCCATTGAGTTGATGCATGATACTCTCTAAGATATGCTGGTATGCCGGCCGGCAAGCCAAGGAGGATGTTTCCTATAACACAATGTGCTGCTTATTCTCGACACGTAAACATGTTCCATTTTATAGCATACATGTACATTAATTCCTCTTTAATACAAGTCATTACAATGATGATTTACAACATTTAGATGGCACTATATTCCTGTTGAAACAACATTTCAAGTATGGGTACGGTATCAAAATACCCAAGACACTGCAGTGTACACTGATAAATGACTCAATTTGAAACCCATTAAAACCAGGTGTGGTTTTTGATATATCAACTGTCTATTGGGGCAATCTTAGCATAGCACATGGTGTAACCAATGTGGTATGTATACCAGCAACATGTGAATCATTTCACAGTAATATCATGTATACATGTAGTTACTGCATTTAAAGTACTTGAGGAAGAGGAGGAGTACTGGTAGTATAAGTACAGGGTAGTAGTAGTAGTAGTAGTAGTAGTAGTAGTAGTAGTAGTAGTAGTAGTACTATGTGTAATAATAGTATAAAGCATATTTAGAGAATCAAAATTTGTTTTAACTGATGCTTTAAAGAAGTAGTGATCACTGCTTGCAGGATTGTGATCAAAAGTACTTAACTGACCAAGTGAACGTGAAACTTCATAAGTATTTATGTAGTAGCAATATGAACTGATCAGTAACTTTAAAATTGTTGTCATGATGGTAATGATTCATTTTGTAACAATACATGCACATATTACACATATTTACAAACACAAATATATACTGCTGAGTCAACGTACGGTGATTCGTGTAGTAAAAAAGAAAATGCTGTTAATATCAAAGCCATGTTGTTCCTCATGAACTTTGCGAACAATTACAAGACCGAATCATTATCATCCCATCTGTAATTCATCTACCGATAATTCTCTCTTTCTACAATTTTACGAACGATACAAGTACAGTACATGTTCAAAAGACTGAACGACAAGTGTTTTTTATGAGTTTTGAAGAAATATATGTTACAATGGAGAATAAAGCATGTACATGACACATTATCATGGTCTTTCACTTGTACACTTCTTAAATTTTACAGCAATCTTGGAAAAGGAATCAGATTATCTAAACTTCAGAAGACATATTAGAATGAATGAGAATAAACTAATTAAAATGTTATATACTTTACACATTTACCAAAACCAACACTTTCCCCACCCTCTACATGAACACCTTTTAAACTTATTTTTTTTTAGTGACAAAGACAAACACAAAAGAAGAGATATTACAGTACTATATCCAATTTACAGTTACTACTTGCACTTTTATATATATATTTCCAACTTAAATTTTTTCTTTATTTTTCTATTTTGAACTCAATCCTAAAGAACTCAAAGTGATCTGACACTGCAAATAAAAAGAAATTCTTTGCAAATCATTATTTTCAAATAAAAATAAAAAATATCAGAGTGTTATATACATTCTAGTAAACTAAGTTTGAACAAAACAATATTGCTTTTCTTCTACATGCAATTTCTTTTTAACATTATCAACATAAAAAATACCTACATGTATACAACAAAGTTCAATAAATAGAATGAGTGTTCAGTATTATAAGCCCTTTTTGTGCAGTACTGTAAACTTAGATCATTTCTAAAAGTAAGCCTTCTTCAATACAAAGTGACAAACGCAAAATTATAGCATGTTAATTAAATCAATTAGCAAAGTAAATACACTTTTTGATAGAGCTTAGCTCCCAAAACATTAGCTTTTTTCTCTAGATTTAGATTTTGAAAAGAGTTGCTTTTTAAAACAGGCTTAGATATAATGAGAAAGGTTGATAATGAGAGAAGGTAGAAAGCCTAAGATAAAACCCCAGACATCCCCCATGGTGGCCATCTTAAACTGTCTCGTATTCATTCTTGATCTTTCTCATCAGACAGCACCCAAACGCAATACCAAAGATCTGAAACAAAAAAAGAAATTATAAAATATCTCTTCAGCAATATCAAAAATCAACAAAGTTTAACGGCTTTTACCTTTTTCTATTACCGGTATTCATCACCATCTTTGCATTACAACATGGACGTAACCATCATTTGATAGTAGTATGTCACAATTTATGTTTTACAACTGATGATATAAATATTTATTCAAGAAAACCATGTGTACACATACTTTATACTGTTGTGATCCGTGTCAGATCTAGAAGTTTTCATTCTTGTTCCATATGGTCCAATGTTTTGATTTCTTAATATTCCACTAAATTAGAATATGAAACATTCATAATGATGTAAATCATATGAACTGTTCAATATGGAGACTTCCCACACTCTATAACAAAGATGCCCCCACAACCCGTCCGGTATCCCCCCCCCCCCAGAAAAAAATTGTAGTAATGTGCTTGATATACTGAGCGAGGCGGGAAGATTCGCCGGCAATTTGCTCGAAGATGTCGTTGACGAAGTAATTAATACTTCTCCTCTTTATATTGGCAAAGCACTTCATTTCACCTTTCCAAATAATTTGCTTTTCTTCAGACAATCATGGTTTTGAATGCCTTAGTTGGTGCTATGTTGAACAGACCCCACACAAACTTTAATGTAAGAACATGTCAGATGTACTCACCTCGATGACAGCAATGCCGATGGCTACTCCAGCAATAATTCCAATGTTACGAAGCAGAAGATCTTTGAGTGCATTGTAGCAAGGCTGAAATAACATCAAATAAACATGTAATCAGGTTTCCAACAAGGTCAAAATAGTTGCCGATGCAGAATGTTCTTAGAATAAAAAGAGATAATAATAGCTCAAATCTGATAGGTAAATAATTGTTTTAAATAGATTGAACTAGTTTCAATGAACATCATCTGCATTAACATGTAGTACTAGGAAGTAATAAATGTAACCTTATGAATAAAATTATAAACAAACTATAAACAATTATTTAAACATATTTGTGGCTTACACCCAGTAAATAAGATCAATTGATCGATCTGTATTGAAAAACAAGTCAGAAAAATCTTGGAACCAGTGGGACTTGAACTATAAACATTTAATAACAAGGATTTCTTAGAAGTGTCCCCATGTTTATTTTATACTTTCATAAACTTGTGGAATATTCAGAAATCTTATGCCAAAGTCTTCAGAGATGATTACAGATTCCATTAAAAAATTATAAAATAACAATGTTTCTGTCATATATTTCTACCACTTCAGAGTTGGAGGGCTGGTATAACTTATGAAGTCAATAAAAATCAATTAAAAAACCTTGAATCTCAGATCCTGAGACCGACAAATTGTAGCACATCCAAGTGATAATGAGAGGTTATATCTCCTTTCCATGATTGAGAAATCGTTATACTTGACCATATGGGAGCTTACTTTTGTATAGATATCTAAGGTAGCTGAGCCAACTTGATTGCATCCTGCTGTACCAGGTTTCATGCAGCATGACTCTGGGACCATGTCAGGATGAGACATGTTATATCCCATCCAGTCAGTGTAGTTATCCACTCCACAGCATTCCAGCTATACACATAAACATTGATCAACACACAGAGAAAACATTGAAATACAAAATAAAGGTCCAGAAAATAAATATGTAGTTGGACTTACGGATACATAAATATTTTGTCCTGCTACATATGGATCAGAGGACACATCCATGTTACAGCCATCTTCTTGTATAATGCAGCATGACATTGGTACCATGTTGTTGTTTATTCCGCTCGTCTTATTAACATTGAAGCCGAACCACTCTGTGTAGTTGTTTCTCCCACAACACTCCAACTAATAGGTTGATAAAGCAGGTGGGAGCAGGGTAGGAGGTGGGTGTGAGCAGGGTGTGAGATGGATGTGAGATGGATGTGAGATGGATATCATAAGGATAGATATCATAAGGATGAATGAGAAAGGATGGATGAGAAAGGATGATGCAATATGGGTTAAAAAAAATAGAAAGCAATGATTATGAGATTATATACATGCATGGCAGTTCAGGTTTCTTTTAAAATTGCAAAACCATGTATGACTAGAATGAACATACAGCATACCGTATTTGCCGGCGTAAAGGCCGCAGTATTTTTGGAAGAGAAAATATCAAAAAGTCGGGGTGAGGCCTTTGGGGTGAGGCCTTTGCGGTGAAAGAGTAAAAAAAAAACGGAAGTCAAAACCATGAAAAAACAGCACAAATTTGCACATATGGGACTACAATAACTATACCACTATGGTACAGGACATTTCCACACATCTTACCGACAATTTTATTTTGCATTGTTGACATGAAGACGAAAATAAACTTCCAAAAACAACATCTGCCGATAGATCTTGATCTAAGTTCGTGCCAATGCATTGCAAAAGTAAAAGAAGGGACCGTTTAACGGAGCTGCCGCGAAGCATCCAGCCGAAGTCGCCATTTTGGATCCATTTCAATATACACAAGAGAAAGCTACATGGGATAGCATCAGGGCCGGGATGGCAAGAGGTCTAAGGCGCTGATTTGTGTCACATCTACATTTTTAGGGGAGGGTTCATATCCCGCCTCTGACAATTTAAAAAAAAAATCATGCATCAAAATCAGGGCTGCGGCCTATGCGGCGCTGCAGCCTTATCGCCGGCAAATATGGTAGTTAAACAAGTTACAGTACATGTAGCAACTGCAAAAAACATTGTATAATAGATTACATACAGGTACATGGATGGAACCATCAGAGTTAGTAAGAGCAACATACAAGAGAAATCATAATGCAGCAAAGTTTGAATGAAAATGGAGTAGGTATTATGGTAGCCAGATCAACATACAGTATATCGAGCTTTGGTGGACGTGCATGAATCTATGAAAACTTGAAAATCATGCTCTGATCAAAGAGTGATGGAAGATGGGCAGTGGTGAGGAGTGTTATTAAAGGTTATACATACATACACATGTAGCGTTGATTAATTAGAGATTCAAGTAATTGTGTAATCCAAATAAAATAACAAGTCTAGTAGCCATGGAAATCAGATTCTATACCATGTGTTATCATTGCCAGATATACATGTACAGTGTTTGCTGCAAATTTGGCATCTGTCTAGGAAATCCATATTTATTCAGTTAATCTCGTTGTTAATATTTTGCATGTACAGTTGAACATTTGTACATCTCAGAAGTTTGAGGATTGCTCTTTGAATTCTTTGTTTCTTCAAAATTTCAAAAACACTGTCGATGCTAGTAAAACATGGTACCAATACAATTTATTTGAAATCAATGCTACTCCTTCAGAAGTAATGTTTTTTAAGCTCTGCCAATGAATATCAAGAAATTGCTAATGGAACTACATGGATATTGTAAGAGAAGTGCAGCAGGGGGGCGTTTCACAAAACTTGTCATCAGTGACAAATGACAGTTTCAGTTATAAGCTACTGAAATATTTGCTTCTGATTGGTTATCAGCAAATTTGTCACTGATTTAAGTCATTTGTCATTGAAAAAAAGCTTTGTGAAACGGGTCCTTGGACGGGGTCATGAATCTGGGCTGTAACATAGCATGTGTGCACCCTCAAACATCTTCACACCTGAAATACTGCCAATATATTAACATGAAAGTAAGAATCTTAATCTTTATTCAACAAAAGACACAAAGAATGACAATAACATTACAAATAAATGATAATATAAATGCTACCAAATATTGGTAACAAAATTCTGTTTAAGTTAGTCGTGCTATAGAGTACATGATTCAGATCTCCTTTACAACAAACATACGTTGTTCATGTAGCTAGATTAAAGATAATCTTGAGTTCTGGTTATGTCAACCAAAATAAATGTATAAATAAATCCTGGTTTCATTCATTCGTTGGTTCCCAGAGTGAGTTAAGCCATTGACTACTGAATTCACTCCGCTCATTACCAGCATTTAATATTGTTGGTGTGTTTATAATAAAATGGTCTAAAAATAATCTTCATGATTAAGAAGTTATTACTTTTAATTCAATTTCTATTGAATTGGAATCCATTACCTGAACTCAAGATCATACCGGTACACTAAAAGCAAGAATGTTGATGAAAAAATATTATAAAATTAGTTTAAAATGTGCAAAATGCACATGATAAATTGTCTTTATTCAAGCTACAAAATGTATGTTCTTTAAATTGTTATGAAAAATCTATTATTCATACAACATTGAGCACAAAAAATAATTTGAATGAAATTTGTTTAAAGTCTGAAAAAGGCAGGATTGCAACTCTGTTCTTTGTGTAAAATCATCTACCATGAATGATATCCAGACATGTATGCCTTGTATCTCGTGTGTAAAGAGAAATGAGGGTTGGTTTGTAATCACAAAGACTGAGTCGTGCCGCTAAGTATTTTGGTAAACAAATCAAATTCTATGACTTCCAGACTTTGTTCTTCAGAATATTTTCACTGCACAATGTAGTACAGAACAGGGAGTGTATGAAGATGGCAAACAGTGGATATGGCTTGTCAAAGGCTCTTTCTAGGATTTATATTGCAGATCTACATATATAGTGAAAACACTTAAGTGCTGAAAGTATCTGAGATTGTTTCACTGCTTCCAATAGTCTCTCATTAGCCCATTGACCCCTGTATTGTCAAAGTCCCATAGGCTTAATACAGGGGCCATTGGTTTCTGTATGTAACAGATTAAGGGAAAACACATTCCCCCTCCGCTGTCCAGGAAAAACATGAATGCAATGCAGAATGTCTTGCAGGTAGGGTACTTACATTCTTCTGCATGTTATCAAAGAGTTGTTGCGTTGAAGTAGATGAGTTATACTCTTTCTGAAGGTCAGTCATGTTGTCATCGACCAGCTTATCAATGTCATCACGAAGGACATAGCCAGAGATACCAGCAGCAAGCTCCAAGATTAGAAGAAGGACCATGATGAAAGCATACTATAGAGATGGACAATCATAAAATAACCCCAAGATTACATGAAATGCCATGATGAAAGCATATCATAAAAGTATTTATCAAAAGCATACTACATAAAATGACTCAAAGAGAAGAAGAAACAGGATGTTTTTAAAAAATATTGTGATAAAAGCACTTGTATTTTTTAAAGGGGAAGCCCGCTCTTATATTGAGTGGGATTAAAAACAAAAGCAGAAAAATGAAATTTTGTGTATCTAGAAGGGGAACTCACAAGATACATTGTGTATGTCAAAAAGTTGCCAATTGACATTTTTCTCTCATTTTCTGCTTTTATTAAAACCAACTGATATCAGGGTGGACTTCCTTGTATGAGAATCATGAGTCATAATACATGTAGTTTTTAGTAGCTGAGAATACTGACCGTTCCCAGCATGCAGTAGTTCTCCTTGACTGCTCCGCAGCATCCAAAGAATCCAGTCAGGAATATGAAGACACCAATACAGATGAGAGCTATAGGTATAGCTGTGCCTGTATTACCAGTGAAGTCTACATACTCACTGTAGAGAGTCAATGTCAGACTTCCTCCAACGATGATACCAAGACCAAAGATCTGCATTGCAAAAAAAAATTAAAAATGGAAATATAAAACTTTGATTAGTTTAATTTCTAATCAAATAACATTGCAAGTCTGTATCAAGCAAAACAATGACAAAAATCAGCCCTTCTGAAAAATTCATGTTATTGTTTTTCAGCAAAGATATTCTATGATTCCTACAAAAAAAAAGCATTTCTTGATTTACTGTACATACATGTTCTCGTACTTGTACTTCAGACATACAGATAGTTGTGTTGCTACAAACATGAATACACTGTACTTACATGTACATGTATGTCTAGACAATAAACATGTACAATGTACGTAAATGTACTGTATATGCTGTGATATGATTTTCATGGATTGCTGTTTACAACTTTATGCATTCACAACATATTTTAAATTATTCTTCTGATATTGCCAATCTTTTATAGGTTAAGTTGTATTTGATTTTTGATATTACATATCAGAACCGACCCGATAGCCAGTTTGAATTTTTGAATTAACTTTAAAAGATCAATTACATCCATCTACATGAATATGTACAGTGCAGAACTAATATAGGAACATCCAGATTCCAGAATAATACAATATTAGGATTTTTAAATATGAAATATAGATCAAAATATACATTTACATGTACATCTTCATCTAACCCATGCATCTGCCTCTATTAAATAGACTTCATAAATAAGAACAAACTACATGTACTATATATTGTGTTTGTTGTATAGATTGCCTGTATTAGATGTCATGCACTAGTCCTGTACATGTACATGTAACTGGCAAACCTGAATCAAAATATTCCACCCAAAATTCCAACATATGTGCGAAACTGAGTAAAAACAGATGTTATTCACATATTGAAGTAGAAGGATCAAGTGTAAACTCTGTCACCTGACCACAACAAGGTCAATGTCAAGCTAAATACTGTCGGACACAACTGTTACACAGATGGGTCTACCAATGAATTGTACATGTACAAGTGAGTGTGTTCTTTACTTCTTTTCTTTTTCTACATATTGTTGTCATCGATGCTATTCTGTCAAATAGTATTCAACACGTTAATCTTTTAACTTCAGTTATCTGTGAACACACAGCCTTATCTGATAGTCAGTAGACGGACCTTCTAAGAGTAAAAGAATAGTCATGACCTCATTCTGTAAATACAGGCCAGGGTTTACACAAACATAATGTCCTTGACTTCTGCTTCTTCCTCTTTTTTTTCTCTTGTTTTGTTGGTCATTTAAATGTATCACTTCTTGTTTTATTCTCTATTTTCCTTCCGATAAAATTCATCACTTTTGTCATATTACCGGTAGTGCATTTTTTAAATCAGGCTGTACTTCATAATATCTATTGCCAAATACTTTAAATAGATCATACGAGTTGAATTGAATTAAATTGATTCAGTTTATTGCAATAAAAGAACATTCAGTTGAAATTGCTCAATTTACAAAGTCAATGTACGATCAAAATATGAATTACTAAAACCTACATGTACCACCATAAATCATGCATAATGAAACAAAATAAAACTCAAATATTACATCAAAATCAAAATCGAAAGACTGTGATGAACACCGACAGTCCAATGAGTAAAGCATCTCATGGTTTGTTGCACATGAGCAACCTAGAGATTCTCTCTCATTTATATGATAATACTCATTTTAATTATTATTTTCTCAAAGTCATGCATACAGTAAATGTATGTTTAAACAGTCATGGGTGAACTGCCAAGCTGTAGATGGCAATCTGGCTATACATACAACATTACCACTTTAGTATGTGTGTGGGTGGGTGGGTGTGTGTTGGCCTCTTAAAAGTGTTTGTATTCAAAGTCTCGCATTTTTATGCTGGTAACATACTGCACCATTGGACATAAACAACTCAAGTACCAGCCCGCACTTCACTTTAGCATATCATTTTAGAGCAATTTGTCCTTGTTTCCCGTTGAAATGCACTCCGGATCCCAGTTACTGTACGTGCATGAAATGCATAAAATTGATTCTGGTGCAAGAGCTTTGAATGCATTCTGCATCCATTGCCATCGCCATTGCCATCGCCATTGCCATGGAATTTAACATTTGGATCATTTTAGAGCGATGCCAAGGTATGGAAAGATTATTAAAATACATGTGCGTGTACATGTGCAGCTTCACTAAACTACATGTACATGTACAATGTATTGTAGTAACTAAATTACTCCCTCCCCAACCCCCTCCCCCACCACCTTTAATGAAGTTTACAAGATACATACTTAATTGAATTGAATTTATTTCCAAATCTTCATTTCAAAAACATATATAAAGCATGACAAAAAAATATATTTAAACAATAACATGTAACAAACAAATATACAAGGAAGAAAAGATGATTAATGTTAATGTGGTGGGATCATAAATAGAATTGGTAAAACTTGTAAACATGATCCCAATTACATGAAACCAATATATATACAACATAAAAACTTAGAGAAAAATACAATAGTGAAAAACATGAAACATCATTGACATTTTATTGGAATTTAATTTTCCATAAACATACATTGTAGATAATGTATGAATTTGTGCAGTTGACTTTTCCTGTTAACAATTGCACTCTGTGAATATGTATACATACATACTAATTTGTAATTGTAATATATGAAAATTGTACCATTGTACAAAAATCAATTTTATTGGTTGGTAATCCTAGGCTCTCCACAGGTGATCAATGAAGCATTGTAAACAGACCACATTCATATTACACACTGGTCGATACACAGGCTTACAATCCCTAGCTAGCTCAGTCAAGTACAACATGTGGTTTAATACTGTACTAATTTGTGCTTAAAACCACTTACAATAATGGGTACCAATATAATACCTTTCTGAAAATCAAGAGCAATTGTATTTTAAGTTAATGCACTGTAGGTAGCTTCTCCATATGTTGAAGGTTGTTTATTACAAGTATTTTAAAGGGACTACATTTGCAGCCAACATCAAATTTGTAGAACTTATACTTAGGAATTATGAATATGTCACGGACAAATGTAAAGATGTACAACTGTACATGTACGCCTTTTATGTTCTATCTCAGTATTTGTGAAATTTAAATGTTAATAGCAGTGTCCTACAGTGAACATGCAGTATTCAAGATATGCAAGGAAACCTGTTTACTTTCTTACTGTAAGACACTATTGAGTGACTGACTGGTTTCATTTTTCCTTTGGTAATAACATACATATGAGCTGTAAAGGGTACATGAGCATTTGTCTACATCAATAACCCACTTCATGTAATGGCCAAAATTACTAAAAGCAACTGATTGAATCTTTGCGCAGAACAAAATGTACACCATTCAGTACAACTACAAGGTAATCATGTACTTTGGTCATGTCCAATTTTGTCAACTTTTCTATTTTTTGATCACGAATTCCAAATCAATGCCTTTGGGATGCTGCTAGAGAATCCTGCTGACTGGTGGCCTGTGGTTACAGTCATACATGTACTTCCTACACGTACATGTACATTACGTGTCAACCACAGTTAATAAGGAATTAACATTAGAGATACAGTGTAAAGCATTGGTGTTTACATTCCATGAATGAAGAGTTATTCCAAGAGAAATCTGTCATGATAAATTTGTATTCAGGAAGTGTGGAAGCCTTTCAACTACTACAGTCAAATACAATGTACATACACTATGAACATGACTGACAAAGAAAGCGGACAAAATATACAGTTCCTCAGGTGGACAACGGAACATCCCTTCACTGCTATTATGTAAAAATGTGTAGAACAGGTGTCACATGCATATTCACCTTTTTACATAATAGCAGTGACGGGATGTTCCTTTGTCTACATGTACCTGAGGAACTGTATATTTTGTCCGCTTTCTTTGTCTGTCATGTTCATAGTGATACACTGTACACATTATGGACTATCATTCTCTTGATCATTCTTACAGTACATACTGTACACTGCAGAAAGAACCATTAAAGACCGTCTGTACTAGTTTGGCTAGGAGGGATAAGACCACCCAGGGTGCCCACTGACAGGTGGTTATCTTATCAACTCAGCTCTCAATTAACATAAGACAAAGAGGATCATGGGGGACCAATGGTCACCGATTAGGCATTGTTTGCTATATAGAGGGAGCAAGTAGCTACAAGTAGTACAATGGGGCTTTAAAGATCAATACAATTTAAGTGTGAATGTACCTGGCTTCACAGATTAACCCAAGATCAACCTTGTGAACAAGATTTCGTTTCCAATGACTAGACCCTATACATGTACATTTGTGTTGTACCTACAGAATTGTATTTCAGTTCATGGAGAAATTATCAAGTTTTACATTCTCTAAGATAATTGAATACACATCTCACATTATCACATCTCAATGCTGCACTACTCACTGAGGCATCACATTCTAGTACCAACAGGTTACACTACAGTCTACAGGCCAAAGCTATCACAATGTAAATTGCTGAAAGTAAGTCGCTATATTTTGATGTTTTATAATGATTTTCCACGTTCTTTTGAAATTATATGAAGTAAATCTATTTTACTCTCTGTTGTAAAATGGCATTTAGTATGCCAATTTCTTGTACCCTTTCGTGGACGCGTAAGTAAGTACATGTACATGTGTAACCAGGCGGATATTTTATCAGCATGCCAGGATTCACACTACAGTGTATGTATGCATCTCGGATGCGCTTACGCGTCCATCCATCGCCACCCTCTCGGGGACATGCCTGTAAGCGTCCCGGCCACGGACTGTCTCCACATTCTGGATTTTGCTGATGATACAAACACACATACTCCAGAATCACCTAGCTTCTCAAATCATGCAACTCCCGGTTCACCTCAAGACCCGGGAGTTCGGAGTACATGTAGCTGAGTACTACATAATATAAGGTTAATGTCCGTGAATGTATTGTCTTTCTTCCTTACTTTCATCATCCTGTTCATTTCATACATTTCACCGCACCGTAAGTAAAACAGTGGTCATCATCATTACCATTTATTCTA